ATAAATCGTTGGGTTGGGGAATCGGAGAAGAAAAAATGTTGCTCAAGCAGAAGAAGAATCAGCCCTTGAAGGGAAACAGGTTTTTGATTAGCGTTACTGTTCTGGGGAGTGCTGGGCCGATTAGGTTCGTGGTTAACGAGGGCGAGCTTGTGGCTTCTGTGATCGATACTGCTTTGAAATCGTATGCCCGCGAAGGCAGGCTCCCGATTCTTGGATCTGATCTCGATAATTTCATTCTATATTGCCCTATTGCTGGAACTGAAGGTAGTTTTTAATCGTGCCAGATTTGTATTTTGTTTTTAATTTCTTTTGTTATGTATGAATTTTTTTAATTCTGTACTTTGGGTAATCAGATAATGTGCAGATTTGGGGTTTGTTGATTAGGTGAATTTTAATTCTTGAATTTTACATTCTATGTATGAATTCTAATACTTGAATTTTACATTCTATGTATGAATTTAATTCTTGAATTTTTTATTCTATGAATTTTAATTATATGTCTGATCTCGATTATGTATGAATTTTACATTCTGTGAATATTAATTCTTGAATTTTACATTGTATGTATGAATGTATGAATTTTATTCTTCAATTTTACATTCTATGTGCAGATATGTATGAATTTTAATTTGTTGATTTGGTGTTTGTTTTCATTCTATGTATGAATTTTTTAATTCATGAAGTTTACATTCAAATTCATTAGGTGAACTGCATAATCCATAGCATAGGCTAATGTAATGACAAATTTTAGTCTTCTCATAAATCTAGTTTCTTGATTTTTATTTGTTTATTTGGTGTTGGTGATTAGTTGTATTGATCCTTCAAGATTTGGATAATTTATTAAAATTTGTAGAACTTACATTTTTTTTTTTTCCATGTTTGTTCGATGCAGCTCTTAGTCCATGGGAGATGATTGGGTCGACTGGTGTCCGCAATTTCGTGCTGTGCAAGAAGCCCCAAACTGGGAATTCCATCGACAGTGGCAAATCATCTGCTCCCATTACAGCAATGTCTCGAAAGGGGTCTGGAAGTTGGAAGGCTTGGTTTCATAAATCTCTCAATCTGAAGATATCTTCTCATTGAATGGAACTGCTACTTCTGTTTCTTTGGGAAATGTTTGAAAACTTTTTATTGGTGTTTTTAGGATTGATTGTCTTTCTTGTGATGTTTGGAAGTTTTGCATTTGGTCACGGGTCTGTGATGAACATTCCATCCAAAACCTTTCGGTTTTGCCGGTTTAATAAAGTGATTATTGTTTGCCATTGTCTTTCATTTGATTTTTAAGGCTGGTGATTGTGTTAGTTTTGAAAATCACCTTCATGAGTATGGATCAAATGTACGTGTGATTTTTCGAATGCATTTTAAGTTTGCTTTGTTTTAGTGTAAGAGGTTGTTGTTTTTCAAAAATTGGTTGTGCATCTTCTTGTTCTTGCTCATCTGTGTTAGCAGTTGTGCTTAATGAGATTGATTTTGGAATAGAATTCGACCCCTGCACTTAATTACAAAAAGTTTATTCTTTTATTTTTCATTGAAAAAGTTATTCCTATATTTTTTTTTGTTCTTATGATTATATTGGAAAACTTTATCGATTATTTTCTTACGAGGGTAGATAAATTCGATTCTAATTTTATGTGGGTAGATAAATTCGATTCTACTGCTGTCGCCGGTTTTGTGGCACACCCAAACGGGTGTGTGTGAGTGTGCATATTTCACTCGCCAGTCGCCATGCATATGTTATGTTCAAATAAGCATTGCATACTTCATTACATTACAATTCTTTTTAAAAAGTATAAATATTTACAACTATAAACTATTTATTTTCATTAATGTTCAAGTTTGTAAAATGTAATATGTTTTTCTTTTTCTTTTTTCTTTTTTTTTTTTCGAACAATATAGGTATTATAAAGCGCACAAATTGCGAAAAGAAAACCAACCAAAGACTGAAAGATACAATCAACAGCTAAATTGCGAAAAGAAAACCAACCAAAGACTGAAAGATACAATCAACAGCTGCATAAACTGGGAGACATACTCGAAGGTCGCCTAGAGTCGGACTTAGCAACGCTAGAATAACACAAACACAACACTACAAAACAAAAAGACGACCACTAACTAAAAAGATCCTAAAAGGATAATGCACGAGTGAGAAAACGATCCTAATAAGATAATAAAGCACTCACTCAGGTGAAAACAGAGGCCAAATGCCCGAACAAAAACACATACCTACAAAACAGACAACAACTAAACCAAACAAAATAATCACAACATGAAACTAAACAAAAACTAAACAAGCCCTTCCCAAGCAACAAGACCAAGCAGAGCCAACGAAACCAAGTCGACCCGAAAAGAATCTCACAGCCAAAGAGGATGATGTAGAGGATGTATTCGAAAGGGAAATAAGAACACAAGAACATATTTCTTTTCTCAGAATAATACGATAATGAAAAACAATTGTTCAGGGAGTGGTTACATATAGGAAGAGCCCACTACTCTTCAACTTCCTAATTACTTAATTAACTGCTCCAATAATAAAATAACATAAATAAAAACCATAATAACTAATAAACTGATAACTGATAAAACCGGAAAATAAATAGCCTAAGCCCGAAGACGGTCATATTTCTGCAGAAACGCCAAAGCGGCCTCGTCTCCATCATCCTCCCCGGGTTGAAGAGGATTCGCCCTCGAATCCAAATGGGCCTCGTCTTCGTCTGAGTTGTCACCCTCGAACGGCACCAAATGTTTGACGTTAAAAACGTCGGAGGTGCGAATATGCGACGGGAGCTTCAGACGGTAGGCGTTGGGATTGATCTTCTCGACAACCTCAACCGGACCAATTTTGCGAGCCGACAATTTATTATACTCATGAGCAGAAAACCTATCCTTCGTCAAGACAGCCCAAACAAAATCACCGACCTCGAACTCCACGTGGAGACGACGAGTATCAGCATGCTTCTTATAAGAAGCCGTAGTCGCCTCCAAACGGGCCCGGGCTGCCTCGTGCGTGTTCTGCACATCGGCAATGAAATCCGACGCACGCCGATCGCCACTGTTGCCAGACGGCAATGTCACCAAGCCGGACGGCCCACGCGGAATAAAGCCGAACACAACCATAAAAGGAAAGAACCCAGTCGCACGACTAAGAGCCGAATTATGCACGAACTCTGCCTGACTCAGGCGCTGGTCCCAACTGCGAATGTCATCCCCCACTAAACAACGAAGCAGGTTCCCCAAGGAACGATTCACCACCTCCGTCTGTCCATCTGTCTGAGGATGATAGGCACTGCTGAAGTCGAGCCTAGTGTCAGCCATACGCCACAAACTCCTCCAAAAATAGCTCAAAAAGCGGGTATCGCGATCAGAGACAATCGCCGAAGGCAGGCCATGAATGCGGTAGATCTCCCGAAAAAACAACTGGGCCACATGAACAACATCTGTGGTCCGTTAACACGGAATGAAGTGAGCCATCTTCGAAAATCTATCTACCACAACAAAAATCGAATCAAAACCCCGCTGAGTACGAGGTAAGCCCAACACGAAGTCCATGCTGATCGCCTGCCATGGATGCGACGGAATAGGAAGGGGACGGTATAAACCTGCATTCGTGGCAACACCCTTCGATAACTGGTAGACCCTACAACGAGACACAAACCGCCCAACGTCACGGCGTAAAGAAGGCCAAAAATAAGACCGACTCACCAACTCGACGGACAGGTCGCGGCCCACATGACCGGTGCCATGAAGATCAGCAATAAGCTTCTGGCGCAAACTGCAGTCCGAAACACACAGACGAACTCCCCGAAATAAAAAACCATCAGTGAGAGTGTAATCCTCATAATGGCCATCCCGCAAGCGTGTCAAAATGGGGCCAAAGAAAGAGTCAGTAAGATAGACGTCACGAAGAACCTCAAAGCCAATCACTGACACGCGCAGCTCCGATAATAATAACACCCGACGGCTCGAAGCATCGGCAACCCTGTTCGAGGCGCCCGACCGGTGTCGAAGAACAAATGTGAACTGCTGAAGGAATGATGTCCACGAAGCATGCCGGGCCGAAATATTATCCTGTGAGGCAAGATGGCGAAGAGCCTCGTGATCGGTATACAAAAAAAACTCCCGATGGAAAAGATAGTGTCGCCAATGTCGCACAGCACGCACCACGGCATAAAATTCAACATCATACGTGCTATAACGCAATCGGGAGCCCGACAACTTCTCACTGAAAAAGGACACCGGACGTCCGTCCTGGCTAAGGACAGCACCAATACCCACCTTCGAGGCGTCGCAGGAGAGCTCAAAGGGTCTCGAAAAGTCTGGTAAAACGAGCACCGGAGCGTGTGTCAACTTGCTCTTAATAAGAGCAAAGGCCTCCTCGGCTGCTGCTGTCCAAATAAAAGTCTTTCCCGTGAGACAGCTCGTGATCGGAGCCATGATAGAACTGAAATGGGAAATGAACCGGCGATAGAACGAAGCCAAGCCATGAAAGCTGCGAGCCTCAGTGAAAGTAGTAGGCGTAGGCCAAGCACGAACGGCTTCCACTTTGCTGTCATCGACACGTATCCCAGCTCCGGAGATCACAAAACCCAAAAACAGAACCGAGTCCACCATGAAAAGGCACTTCTTCGGGGCTGCATAAAAGGACTGAGCCCGAAGAATAAGTAAAACTTCCCGAACGTGCTCTAAATGCTCCTCCACAGTGCGGCTATAAATAAGGATGTCGTCGAAATAAACGACAACACATCTGCCAATAAGGTCCCGAAGTGACTGATTCATGACCCGCATAAAAGTACTCGGAGCATTCGAAAGGCCGAAAGGCATAACCATCCACTCAAAAAGACCTTCCCGTATCTTGAAGGCTGTCTTCCACTCATCCCCCGGTCTAATGCGGATCTGATGATATCCACTACGGAGGTCCAACTTTGTAAAAACAGTGGCACCATACAGCTGATCAAGCAGGTCATCCAAACGAGGAATAGGAAAACGGTACCTGACTGTAATTTTGTTGATAGCCCGACTGTCCACACACATACGCCACGCGCCGTCTTTCTTTGGGATCAACAATGCTGGGACAGCACATGGACTCAGACTCCGACGCACAACACCACGCTGAAGGAGCTCCTCCACCTGACGCCGCAGCTCCTCGTGTTCCACCGGGCTCATCCGGTAGTGTGGCCGGTTTGGCAAAGAAGCCCCCGGAATCAAATCAATCTGGTGTTGGATATCTCGTAGCGATGGTAAACCTGAAGTCAGCTCGGACGGAAAAACATCCGCAAACTCAGAAAGCAGAGGCTGTATAGCCGTAGGTGGCTCCTGAACTCCCAATAGATCCGACCCGAACAACAAAACAACGAATGGTGCTGAGCTCATTGCGCCCTCAAAGGCAGCCCGTGAAAGAAAAAGAACCGGCGAGGAACCAACTGAGGTCGACGGACGAGTCGGATTAGGATGCAAAGTGATACGTACACCGGCGAAGTTGAAGCTGTAAGTGTTACGTCGGTAGTCGAGGGTAGCAGCCATATCGTATTGCCAAGGTCTGCCAAGTAACAAGTGGCAGGCATCCATGGGCACTACATCACACCATACCTGGTCCCGGTACGTAGCCCCAATTGCCAAGGAAATGAGAGCCCGACGATCAACAGTAATAGCACGGTCACGGTGGATCCACGCCAGTTTGTAAGGGTGAGGATGGGGCTCGCTCGAAAGCCCCAATTTAGTCAATGCATCATGTTAAATTACATTTTCAGATGAACCAGGATCAATAATAAAGCGGCATACCTTGTCACCAATCGTACAAGTCGACTCGAAAATCTGGTGGCGCTCCACTGGCTCATCAACGGGTGAATGAGGTGTCAAACAAATCCGACGAACCACAAGTGTCGAGCCCACGTCCCCGCAATGATGTTCTTCACTTAGCTCGGGCTCGACATCAAAAACAGGGGGACCATCATAATCAGCAGACACCTCCTGTTCTCCACCATCCTCCAAAAATAAACCACGCGACGTTGAACCCCGTGGACAGGCCGCCTGACGATGGCCAGACTCACCACAACCAAAACAGCGTATCACACCACCCGGACGTTGCC